ATGATGGCCTTGAGATCAATGATTCCTTTCCTGATGAGCATAGCCATTTCAATGACCAAGATGCCATGGTTTGCCGATTTAGCAAATTATCTTATGAGTGGCATTGTACCGAATGAGTTCTCTTCAAACCAAAGTAAGAAGCTCAAACGGAATTGCCTTGAATATTATTGGGATGAACCGTACGTCTTCCGGATTTGTACCAATGGTGTGATATGAAGATGTGTGCCGGAGGAGACTGGGTGATGCGGCTCGCCCTTGGTTAGACGAGATACTAGCAGCTTTAGGCCCACCACCACCATGGATCACAGCAGGGGTTCCCATTCAGCGGAACACCCTCAACTTTGAAGCCAAAGGTTGGCAAATATTTGTCTGCAGCCGGATTGACCCATGCAGAAATGAGAACATCTTTCCTATCCCTCGGGCAGTTTTAGTGGCATCAATCATGGTCGGGTACTTTATCAACATAGGTGCCATCATGTTGGCCAACATGTTAGTGGTTTTCAAGTAGGGAGAGTGTTCCTACCCGTATCCAAACACCCTCACAGAATACCTTACAAATGTGGGAGTGAATTCAAAGCCATTTGATAAGAAGGTTCGGGCAAAGCAACCCTTTTCATGGTACTCTCTCAAGGACCTGAGGAACCCAAAAAACAAGAGCAAGGGTCAGCCAACTACTACTAAAGGATTATCTGGAGAGCATTCGATGGTAGCTACAGCTTCAACAGCCATACCCTCAGCTGTTAGACCTTCCACCTCAGCTTAGCCTTCAAGCAGTACAGCTGCCATACCTCCACCATCATCTGCGGGGCCACTATCAGCTTCAGTGCCGTCATCTTCTACCTATCCACTCACAGAGCTGAGAGTCTCCCATACTCTGGAAAGTATCAACAACTGGATGCTGACAGCTACTGCAAAGATGGTTGACTTATCCAGTGCTGTTTCAGCATAGTCTTCCACCCCTGCACCCCAGACTTCTCCCACAATGGAGGAGACCTTGAAGAAGATTCTAGAAAACCAGCAGATAATTATGAATACTCTGGTGGCACACGGGGGATTAATTGAGGAGTTAGGAAAGCCGACGAAGAAGATGCGGAAATCACAGGCCTCGAAGAAAGCACTTGACAAGCTGACCAAGGAGGTGGACAAAACAACATCAGATGGGGATCTTCCACTTGATTTGTTGATGGAGTCAGCACCAACACCAACACCAACACCATTAGCACCAGAAGCATTAGAGGCACCAACTGGCCACTCTGAGAAGCCAGACCTTGATGCCCACACTACTGAGGCAGTATTACAGATGTTCACCAACCCAGTTACTCTTCCCACCGATGAATGGCGTGACAACCTTCTTAAGAGATTGAGTCTGTTCTTAATGTTTAGGTAAAAACAGTAGTAATGAATAAAAGTTTCAAGCATGCTTCACTTGGTACCAACACATTTAACTACGGCCTTATGGTTAAAAATAAGTTCTTGGCAAGAAATAGCTCTAATTAGTGACCTTTTGACTCTTGTGTTGACTTAAACACTCATCGAGTGGTTTAGTTGAACCATTAGTGATTTTCAATCTTAAATATGATTGTTTTGGGTCCTCGACTCTATTCTCTTTAACAATCCAACAGTGTGAGAGGTGAGATATTTTGTTGCAAATCCAAGTACCCGTGCTCATAGTCTAGAACTTGCCCCGAATGTTTTTCTAGGCGAAATTCTAAGTTTGGCTTTACTTGAGAAATGATTGTAGGCCCTCCTTCATCCAATTTGAAATTTTTCATAGCCCACCAATGTGCTATCCCTATTCAACCTATTTGAGCCTAAGACCTTTTTCATTTGATAACCACGTTACAAGCCTTTACCCGTTTTGTAGTGACCCTCTCTTGGCACCCTAACTTTCCTTAACACTCTTGAGAAATAATTGGCTAAAACATAAGTTTGGGAGAGAGACGAGGAGTTTGAAAGTGGTATCAAGGCACAAAAAGAGAATAAATGAATAAAAGGAAAGGCAAAGAAAAATAAAGAAGGAGCACAAGAAAAATTCAAAAAGAAAGTGAATAAAGTGAAGAACTGAAGTGATTCAAAGAAAAGCAATGATGCAAAGCATGGATAAAACAAAGAAAGAGAAAATGAACATCATGACCGAGAAAGGGTGATGTTAACTCTCTGTAGTTCCCATAAGTAAAAAGAAAATGACTCAAAGAGTCGGCAAAAGATGAGCCAAAAAGAGAAAAATAGAGTGTTTAAGGAAAGATAAATCCGTTTCTGTTCTAATATTTTCTACCCTTGTCCAAAAGCCTTCATTACATTCCGAAAAAGTCCTACATGATTTTAAGCTGAGTGAACTTGCATTAGTGGTGATTTACATGAGGGGCAAGCATATGGTACTTAGAGTCGTACTTGTAACATTCTTTTGAGAGAGATGAGCGAACTTTTCACAAATCCTTGAATTGAGTGCTACATTCTTAAGTGAGATATGCTAACGGAGAGTAGAGGAGGAGGAGTTTGGGATCCACAATGACCTACATAAAAGAGAGAGCTTCCTTGATGAATAAAGTTAACTCTTGATGCTCTAGGGTCACATTGGAACTATTGTGCTTAAAAAGTCAAATCATTGCCTTGTTGATAATCCATAAGTGTTGTGGGTAATTGTTGGTCCCAATTGATGTGTGTTTGATTCACCTTAGCATAGTTGGAAAAGCTCTTAGTTTGTGGAGGTGAGAATTACTTTAATTGTTTGAGGACAAGCAAAAGCATAAGTTTGGGGGAGTTGATAAGTGGAGATTTTGACTACTTATTAGCGCCCCTTTACTTTCGTTTTAGTCCAAAAGTGCTTAATTATACTCCCGAAAACTGATGAAATGTGTTTAAATGCAGGAGCATTAGGAAATGAGCTAAAAAGATGAAATGTAACTCAAAAAGGATTAAAATGAACTCAAGGACAAAAAGCAGGCAAAAGGTTAAATGTGCGGACCGCAGAATTCCTTCTACGGCCGCAAAATACAAAGAGAATCCAATAGAAGTCTAATGCAATGTGCGGTCGCAGAAGACATCAAAGAGTTCAGGTTTAGAGAAGTTCAATTCAAGCTTCAAGGATATGCAGACCGCACAATTATTGTGCGGTGGCAGAATCAATCCATGCTGCCACACACATATTTGTGCGGTCCACAGAAAGGGCATGTGCGGTTGCACTCACTATTGTGCGGACCACAAAACAAGCAACATGTGGCCGTAATCCAGAATTATGCAACCTCAGACCAAGCTCCTGCCAAGACTAATGAAGAAGTGCAGACCGCACATGGAGTTGTGCGGCCGTAAAACCTCTGAAAGGGCATTTTGTCCAAAATTTCTAGCAGTGTATGAGTAGCCTTTTTGACGAATTTAGGTCAAGTTTTGAATATCCAAATATCTGTAACCGTTTTTCTTTAATGGTTTTAGTAACTTTAGCTTACTTTAGTGATTAAACATTAGATTTTTGTCTTTTAATCTTGCAATATGAGTTTAATTATCATCTCTTTTTTAATTTCTTCATTTTCATCTATGAGTAGCTAAATTTCTAGCTAGGGTTGTGACCCAACTTTAGTATGGGTACCTAATGAGTGTTTGATTTAGGGCTTGTTTATGGTTGGGTGTGTAATATTTAGCCTAGTTCTTGCTTTAATTGTAGAATTAATGGTTGCAAATATTGATCAAGTCTATTTGACTTAGTTTCTACTTGAGAAAGAGAGATTGAGTCTAGGAAAACTTGGCTAACAAGAAATTAGGGTGAACTCAAGAAATTGATAGTCTCAATTAAAGGTTTGAATCTAGAGATAGTAAACCCGACTTGAGCATCTATGAACTGTTTTGTGAATTACCCATTTGGACTTGAGAAAGCCAAATTAGGTAAAACCACTCTATTACCGAGAGGTGTGGAGTGGGTAATTGTATGTTGATTGCTATATTACGCCCCGGCCAACGAAACTCGCTTTAAAGCCCACAACCCGTTAGGCAACCACCTAGGTGGAAGTCACAACCCTAGATCTTTTACAACTTGAAAAACAACACCAAAAATATCATTCTCTAGTTTTATATTTGCAAACATAGCTTAATTTAGAAGTAGACAAAACAACAAAGAATGTGGAAGTGCATTTTGGACACATTATACGCTTAGTCCGAGTATATACCTAATCACATCTACGCTCCCTGTTGGTTCGATCCCGACTCCTAATTGGGTAATTATAATTGCATCGACCGCTTCACAACCCCAATTTGAGGTGTGAACTTGGGCGACATCAGTTATCATTGTAAATGACACATTTTCTTGCAAACTTACACTACATTCTATAGAAATCTTAATACAATCTTATTTTCTCACTTTTTGATCTCATTATTATTGTGCCCGGAACCTTATTCCCGGAACTTTCATTCCTGCTATTTCGTCTATATTTAAGGCTAAATATTGTATAATTCTTCGATATTTTATTATTTCAGGATCAAATTAGTTTACTTGTCTAGAAATTACATATAAATTCAACTATATCGTTTTACGGATAAATATAATATTTTGCTCACGTGTCATTGAACCAAAGCTCCGTGAAGCGCAGGGTTCAATGCAATTGCTGAAGCAGTAAGATTCTTTTGCTGGTTTCACTCAGCAGTCTCTCTGAATGGTAATGTTTCCCATTTCAATTCTTGTTAAAACATGAAGTGCTTTATATTATAGTCATGTGGACCGCTTTAGACATTTTTCATGTTTTTTTTTTTTTTTTTTATGTTTGGTTGGTGAATGAATTAAACATTAATAATAGTATTAGCAAATTGAAAAGTGGTTTGATAAAAAATTTGAGAACCAAGAATTAATAATTATGTCTAGGTGTTAGTTCAAAGTAAATAACAAGAAATCGAAAGTAAAGATTGTTGTAAGAAAAATGACTACTGTCCATAAATTAAGGAAGTCATTTTCCCTTTGATGGAGTTTTTTTTAACCGAACACAAAATAATGACTTCCTCTACAAAGTTCCCAAATAATTATAACGCTAGATATTGATAAAATTGATCAAAGATGAAAATATAATGTTCAATGATCAGGAGGAGGAAGAGGACGAAACAACATCAATGGCACAACCCAGTGGCCAAGCTGCTCCAACAATGTAATTCCTGTATTTAACATCATGCACCACTGTGATCTCTTGTTTGGGATGCAGGCCTGCCAATTTTTTAAAATAATGGAACTTAAGAATTTTAACTGTTACTTCATAATTAATTAATGATCATAATTAAGAATTAACTTACCAAATCCATTAACTAGCAAAGTGTACTCATATACCAAGTCCAGGCAAATATATGGCATATCTTTCTCATGAATGTTAGGAAATACTGATTTTATGTTATTCACTGAGGTCTTGCAAGCAAGCTTTGCTGCATTTAGGTATTGTATTGGCTTAGCTCTTCCAGAGGGCTTTTTGGGGTCAATTATGCCAACCTGCAGATGCAGAATTAAATAATCTCGTCAGAAGTAATTAAAAGAAATTCTATAAACGAAATTATTCGCCTCCCACTAACAGAACATAGTTCACATTGAGAACTTAAACTAAGTAAATAAATGTGTACTCACTACAGCAACTTAAACTTTTAGGGAAGATTTGATTTTGTCATCACTTTTATAAGAGATCGTAAAATATAACACAAGAAATTTATAAATAAAATACAAAAAATCTTTATAGGAAAATTTATTTTATTCAAATTGTAAGTGAGCGTATAAGAGATTATTCCCTCAATTATTTTTAGATGAAACAGTCATATAGTTAAAACAAATTTAACTAAATGACTTGACAAATTTAACAAATTTTATTCAATAGGGTTAGGGACTTGTTTGTTGAAAACACATTTAGCTAAGGATGAAAAGGAGCCAATAGTAGTTTCTAAACCAAATAAATAAATCCAACGAAGTTGAATTGGTTTATGAAAAAAATAAAAAGAAAAACATGTTTATTTCATAAGTAAAAGTTTCTTACCATAGCTGCATAATCATAGAAGAAAGAAGAAGCATAGAGATTCTTGTATCCATCTCCACCTCCACCATTCCAAACCCCACCAAAAGTACACTTGTTGTGGTTGCAGGGTGCCTTAATCTTTAGTGCCTTTTTAGCTAATGTCCTACATTTCTTCAAGCTTGAACCATTTCGTGGTGATGATGCTTTGTATGCCACCCCATTGTATGTGTAGTAACCTTAAACAAATCAGAGTTTTATGTTAAAAAGAAAAATTAACTTAAAACCCTTTAAAATAAAAAATATTTGGCGGTATGTATACTAGATATGTAAAAGAAAACGAAAATGAATTTTCCTCAATTATAGGCGAAAAATATTTGTGTTTATCTCAACTATTAACTTCATATTGCTACTCCAACCAATAGTCAAAAAGTATCATAAAAACACTAGTATTTTATTTGCTAATATCACTATCAATTTTTTTTTTTTTTGGAAAATCTTTTTCACTTTCTAATCAAATACATCGAAAACATTTTTCAGGTAAATAATTTTGAGAAAATAAGTTATTATTGGAAAGGTAGTTTTTGAAAAATGTATAATGTAGATTGGGGTTAATTTGAAACTGGAAAATAAACATGATCCAAATAATAAACTCCAAACTCATAAAATAAGTCTAATGTAGATTGGGGTTAATTTGTAACTTATGAGACAAGTGAGAGGTTAGAGATCACTAATCTTACCATTATAACCTCCCAAAATGCATGGACTACTTGATGAATTTCCAGAAACTTTCAAAATCTCTGTTCTAGCTGCTAATTGACCATAGTTCAAATAGCTACAAACAAATCATATTAGGTAAAACAATAAAAAAAAAATATTAGTTTAAGAATAATAAGAATCAATTTACTAAAGTTACCTGTGAACATAGAGGTGATAATTAGCCCCCAAAAGAGATTTATTTAGAACATAAGGCTCTTCATTTGCTACTTTGGGAGCCTTTGAAGCCCTTTCTTTTGAGATGGCATATGTCATTTGCACTGATCCACCTCCTAGATCAATTGTAGCTATTGTTCTTTCATACTTTTTACCCAAATTTCCTAATAAGTAATTTAAGGCAACCTGTATCCGATAATAAAAAAATTATGTAATAATATAGTAATATCGAAGACCTATTCTATTCCTATTGAATAATATATTATATTTTTCAAATCTTTTTTCGTTACACTCAGTACAAGAAATTCGGCCAAAACCGATCACGACAAACCGACCAACCGACTTCGGTCGGTAAAAAAAACTGACCGAAATCGATCGGTATTTTATATATTTTTTTTAATTTTTTATGAAATCGACCAACTTCGGTCGGAGTTTTTTTTGGCGAAAAAATGCGAAAAATTATTTTGGCATCTCAAAAATTTATTTTTTAAGAAACTAACCAACTTTGGTCGTTCTTTCATATAAAAAAAATTAAAAATAATATTCAAAAAATCGACCGAAATCGGTCGGTTATTTTAGTCGGTCATTTTAAAAAACCGATCGATTTCAGTCGGCAATTTTATATTTTTAATAAAATCGACTGAAATCGGTCAGTTATTTTTGCGTGAAAATGCAATTAAAGAGTACAAATAAAATAAAAGATTGTCTTATACCAAAATGTACTAATAGTCTAGTGGCATAATAGTATCCTGCTATAGTACAGACCCCGGTTCGATTCTAAGATTGTGCATTTTTTAATTGCATAATTAAAATACCGATCTACTTCGGTTAATTTTTTTTTTGGCGTTTTCTTTTTTGGTCGCTTGTGAAATTTTATTGACCGACTGAAATCGGTCGGAAATTAAGACCGACTTCGATCGCTGTTTATTATCGACCAACTTAATTTCGATGAATTAAAGTCGGTCGAAAATCAGTCGGGTTTTCTAATTTTCTGATCGATTTCGGTCGGTATTTCTGAACGGTTTAGATAATTTTCTAATAGTGACTAGGGGATAATGGAAGAATAAAGGAGAGAGGAACAGTGAAAATTGATTTGGTAACTATTGTGGGTAAGACTCCCACAGATAACAATTGATCGTGAGAGCGGGTTAACCATGTGATAGATATGACTTACCCAAAAATAAGAACCTTCTTGAGTACCATCAAGAACTGAAACCCATTCTGCCTTGTAATTAAGACTAGTTTCATTCTTGAATAAATCCCTCACCTTAACCAGACAAAAATAGATTTTGAATTAGTATAATTTCTGAAGATTTGTGATCTAAAATTTATAAAAAATGAAAAGAAAAAGAAAAAGGTAAGAAGCTCATATATATATACCGCTTGTAATATTTTTGCAGCAGCATCTCCTTTTAATAACCTCAAACCAGCAGTTGCCTGTATTTATGTTTAGACATTAGTATTTCATAATATTTTGGAGAAAAAAAAAAGAGAAGCAAATTAAGAATTCTATTCAAATAATGAAAAAAAAGCCTCTGTTTGTGAAGGAAATATAAAAAAAAATAGAGCTTATTACTCACTCCAAGTTTAAGGGGTGTTTCAGGCTGCAAATATTTAGGAATAACACCTTCAGCTTTGTCCAAAAGAGGCTTTAAAGAAAGTGCTGCAGCATTTGGATCATCTGCATATGAACTTAGACTTGGTTTTATCTGCATGCCCAACATAATAATTTTAATAATCACAAATTTCCTTTTTTATTTTCTAATGTATTCTTTATATTTATATAATTTTAATTTGTCATTCTCAAGTATCAATACTGCCACTCTCAGTAACATCGTATTTGTAACTATCGAGGAAGCCTTCAACCCTCAACTCAACATATAATTAAAAAGAAGGTTAAGCAAATACTGTCCTTTACTTCTTAAAAAAATCTTTGATCTATTTCCTCCGGACCATAATAAGGGACCTTTGGCCTTCGAAAAATTCCAAAATTCATCTTCAAATAAAAATTAAAAATTTTATGGCCAAACACTGATTTCGAAAAAAAGTAAAAAAATTCTTCCAAACGGGCTCTAAGTATCCTTTTACATAATAAAAAAGAATAAATTTTATTTTTTCAATATTTGCCCTTATTTACATATTCCAATGTGTCAAGGTAATAATTAATTAAGGGTAATTTAGCGAATACATTTTTTTTCCTCTAAGAGTTTGTATTTTCTTAAGAAATGTACCAAAAGCTAAAAAATAACTTATTATGGACCGGGAAGACTACTATTCTACATCCTTTAATGTTTTTAAGATCATATAATATCCTTTACTTCAAAAAAAGAAGAAGAAGGAATTACTTCCATTTATCAAATCATTTCCTTTGACGACTACATTTACTTGTATAAAAGGCTCTTATTTTCCTTTAATGGAGGATACATCTACTTGGAAAATTTGTTGGTATAAGTAACTCTAGGTTTAAGAAGTAAGATCATCATCATGATCAAAATATTCGTTTTTGCAACGTGGGACAAATTATACTTTATGAAATTGTCCCTAGCATAACAAACTTTGGTTTCTATATATAAAAAAACATAAAATTTCGTCATATCTGTATTATTTTATTTTATATAAGAGTCTACCACGTGTGAGTAGATTTTGTTCATATTTTCTTTGGGTGTATGAAAAGCATATGTGGACCACGTGGGTAGTACGGTCAGGATCGAAATCAACGGCTGGGATTGTAAATTGACAGGATTATAAGGCTTCTTTAATCTTGAACTCATTTTTGTCTATACCCGAATTCTTGCTAGTCTACAAGTTTCTCTCCGGACAAGAGGCTCTTCTTTTTTCCTCTTTCGATACACACACACACAACCCTTTTCCAAAATTTATCTTCCTAACACAAATCAGGTTGAAAGAGGAGCAAAATTAGATAATAATATAACATTTTCCCCTGTGTTCCCTACCTTTGTTTGAAAATGTAAAATTGGGACTCGCCCTGGGGCGGGGCACTCGTAAAACGTCCCTGAGCTTATATGTGGGGCTTAGTTTCATGAGACTTACTCCTCGGCCGTAGGGGCTTACGCCTCGGACACGCCCAATACCCAGCGTACTAGGCTCGCCTAATAAAACTTTATGCAATTGTGTGTAACTAACCTTGTAAATCCTCAAATTTTCTAAATAAATTGTTAACTATTCAAAATTATTTTTTTCTTAATCATAAATCATTAAGTTGAGAGTATTTTATGTCATAATTAAAATAAAAATTATTGCACGTTATCCACTAAGATTGCTATGACAATAAATATTAAATAAATCTTTCATTTAAAAGTATTTATGTATTAACTTTTGTTATGTCTTTATTATACATAATTTTTTTATAATTATTTTCCTAAATATTATTTTTTATGTTTACGAAATATAATACTTATTAATTTAATAGCTCAGTATTAGCTAGTAACTATTTACAAATAGTTAGTTATCGTGATATAGTATGGTGAATCATGTGTCACTTTATTAACTTGTCGAAACTTAAAAATAAATGATGCTAAAGAATCATATTTAAATTGTGAATTATAGTTTTATATAAATTATCTTTCAAATATAAAGCATATTAAATAAAAGGAGTATTTATTTAAAAAATAGAATCAAATTATAATATCGAAATTCTTTCAAGATTCATTGCTCCTTAAGATATATAAGATTTCGCATCGAATACATTACTTTTGATGTTTGAGTTGTAACAATGTTATCTAATTTGCATATTATGATATATGTCATACTTTTTGTATTATTCATAGCTGAATTATAATTTATGAATATTTTAAATAAATTATTTGTTATAATTTTGTGATTTTAATGTAATTTTTATAATTATTTTTTATTTTATATTATCTTAAAATTCTTGAAATTAGTAAAATTTAAAGATCTGTGGGACTTATGCCCCATGTCTCACGGCTTACGCCTCGCCTCATGCCCCCGCCTTTTAAAATATTGTTCCCTACTGCTCATCTAAGCAAGGATGTACCCCCTTCATCAGCAGAGGCGGATCTAGGATTTAATTCTATGGATTCAACCTTTAATGTTTTTTGCATTGAACTCATAGTATATTTAAAGTTATGGATTTATTTCTACTATCTTTTATAATTTTGAAAGATTTTTACACATAAATTAATGCTTTGCATCAAAAGTACTGGGTTCGGTTGAACCCGACATTTATTTGTTGCATCCGCCCCTGTTTATCACAATTTATGTGTAATTTTTTATTTTCCTAGATTCAAATTATGTGAACTTTGACTAACATTTTAAAATATATTTTTTCATTATATTAACATGAAAAGACTTGCTTCTTATAGTACTGTTCGTATAGTTTTTGAATATCTAAATTTTAATTTTAAAATATTAAGATAATCTTATCTAATTTTAATTTTAAAGATTAGGCTCGATAAGCGAAAATAGGATGGAAGGAGTACTTAGCAATTGAAGGTGACATCCTAAAACCTCAATCCAAAGGTTATTATGAGGTTTCTTTCATATATTGCCACGAATGGACCATAGAAGACTAGCGTTTTTATAAAGTTTTTTTGTATTTTTTGACAGATTTGAAAATATTCAAAAGAAATTACTAACTTTTTTTTTTTGGCACTAACAACTCAAACAAACAGAGTTCACAAAGCTCGCATAAAAAGTTTGCATAATTTTTTTTGGTTTTTCACCCGGTGTCCGGTATCTGTATTGGAGCCCGACTATACTCCGATTTGCACAGCGTAAGGAGCGCTCCCTATCAAGGATATTTCCATAACCAGAGCTCGAACTCTGACCTCTGATTAAGGGACCCACTGTACCACATCCTTTGGTGGTAAAGTTTGCATAATTTGCTTTAACATCACATATAGAATAACTACAAATAATTGTTCATAATAAGTGAAAGGAAACGTACGTACCGCGAGGAAGTATTCAATGTCAAGTAGATCCAAGTTATGGTCAAAGCGAAAGACATGGACTCTACTGCCTGTGCTACCCGCATCAAATATCACAGCATAGTGCTCTGCTTCATGGCTAAGAAGTAGCCTTCTAACTTGAGATGAAGCACAATACTGAGGCAATACTAGAAGTTTCAACAAGAAGAAGAAGTAGAAGATTATGAAGTGAAGAGGAAAACTGGTTTGCCTCTTCATTTTTTCCTTTTAGCTTAGAGCTGTTTGACATAGCATAAACTAGTATTGTGTTGTTTATATAACAAATAAGTCAATGTGTCTCTAATAGCGGACCAATTTTTTACTAATTAATTTATTTCTGAAGTACTTTCAACGCTTTTTTCGTGTTGGCCTGAGAAAGTGGTAGGTGAAGGACGAAATCATAGCGCTTCTTCTTTATTGAAAAACATTAGTACCATTGGAATCTTTTTTATTGCTTTAACCATCTGTATCCAATGCGTACTGCCTGACATTGAGTTTGATTTTCTTTCAATTTTAAAAGTGAAGGATATCTCATACGAACATGTGGAACAGGAGAATTGTACGGCACATGAGCACTTTGTTGGATTCGAAGAAAAATGAGAAGAATTAGTAATACTATGAGTAAAGAATTTCAGTATGATTACCCCGGATCCACCTAAAGAAAAATAATAATAGAATAGAAGCTATTACAAGAAATAAATACTTGGCCTTATAACATTGGCCATTACACTGAAATGAAAAGAGCTCTACACTATTAAGTTGGCCGTCAACAATCTTAATAATGTCAAAGAGTTTGTGAACATGTTAGCCAAGTGTCACGACCTAGGCTGTGATGGTTGGAAATGATCAAAATGATCCTTAATGTAATGTATGGAGGCTGCTCTATCTTGGTCTTTGCTGTATTATCCTAAACAGATATGATCCTTAATACATGTCAAAAGATAACATATTTGGTGTTTTGCCCTAAACTTTACAGATTTCTCAAAAAGGGCTGTTAAATTTAACCTAGGCGCCCCATGTGCAGCTCACATGCTGCTACCGGTTAAAATCTGTAGCATGCAAACGCTTTCCCTTTTTCCATCCTACAACAGAGATTTCGAGAGGAACAAAGAGCTTCTGTGCACAAGAGCTCATTGAATGAAGAGCTTGCGTCTCTTTCTTTCGTCTTTGCCATAAAAAATGTCTACAAAGTGTAAGATAGTTTGTTATTGGCAAGTTGGAAGTGAGACGTTTCATTCTCGTACCGTGCTTGTTAGCCTCGGAACTGATCATTATGAAATAGCACATAACAGGCACGAGATTGACTCAACAGGCACGAGACTGACTCAACAGGCACGAAACTGACTCAACAGGCACAAGATCCTAGAGTTAATTATTTTTAACAGAAAAATCAAATTCATTTGAATTTTAAATTCAAAATTCGAATAAATAGTCGTGTCTGTTTGTGAAACAAGACATCTTTTCTGAAAGGGTCTGTTGGTTGCCTATAAATACACAAGAATTCCAACGAAGTGGATATAGAAAATCACAAGTGTTATTGCAGGCTTTGTTGTATCCTGAAGAGAATCATTTTGTATTTTCCCTAAATTAGTATACAGGCGATAACTCTTTAAGGACAGTCGATTTTCACGCCTCAAAGCCAATTTTGATTATTATTTTCTAACAATCTTAAAGAGTTATTCTGCTATGGAGAAATTGATGTCTGTTGTTGAGAATCCGAAGGAGTTCATCAAACTTGATCGCTTTGATGGAACGAACTTTACCCGTTGGAGAGACAAGATGATATTCTTGTTGTCCGCTCTCAATATCTACTATGTTCTTGATTCTGCCTTGCCTCCAATGCCTGAGCCCACAGCAGAAGATTCTGACGTAGTCAAGGAAGAAAGGAAGAAACGAGAACATGATGAACTGTTGTGTCGCGGCCATATTCTGAATACTTTGACAGATCGACTCTATGATCTTTACTGCAATCTGAAGTCGCCAAGAGAGATTTGGACTGCTCTACAAACTGCATACCAGAATGAAAAACGAGGTATTGACAAATTCCTGGCTCTATAGTACTTTGAATTTAAAATATTTGATACTAGGCCTATAATGGATCAGATTCATGAACTGCAAATCTTAGTATCAAAACTAAGTGATCTTGAAGTTAAAATTCCTGATGCACTTCAAATAGGTGCTATTCTTTCGAAATTGCCTTCCTCTTGGAATGACTATAGAAAGAAAATCCTACATTCTATGGATAAAATGACTGTGGAACAATTTCGTACTCACATTCAAATTGAAAGTGAGACTCGTGCTCGTGATGCTATTAGTCAGCTTTCGAGTTCCGCAGTCAATTTTGTCAGTCAGAATGGTTCAGGAAGTGGGAACAAACATCTGAAAGTTTCCAAAAAGACTTCTTTTAAAAAGAGAAAGAACTTTAGTTGTCATCATTGTGGAAAGAAAGGTCATATGATTCGGGACTGCAGATATAGAAAGGCAGGAATAAATTTCAATGCAGGCAATACCGAAAAGTCTGGAAAGATTAAAAAATCTGGAAATTCTGAAACGACAAACGTAGTGGAAAATTCTGCCCAAGGACTGGTTGCCATGGTTTCCGCAATGCAAATTGGTATGGTCACAGAGTTAAATGTAGCTACCGCTGCTACAAATACTCAAGACTGGTGGCTAGATTCGGGTGCTACTATTCATGTCTGTTATGACAAGAAGATGTTCAAGACATATGCAGAA